TCAGCTTCAGGGTATGGGGCCTTTGGATGCTCAGCTTTCTCCTCAGCAGCCTTGGTGGTGCTGGCAGCCTGAGGGCCATGCTGGCTATTGACACCTGTGGTGACGTGGTCAGCATCACTCCCGACGGGCTGAGCCTCCGTGTGCTGGGTGAACTGTGGCTCAGCACTGGGGGCCAAGGGGGCTGACTCCGGCTCTCTCTCAGGAACACTCGCCATTTGTGACGTCTTGTCCTTACCCAGGAGGTGACTTGGGAAAACCACTAGACTCTGACTTGTCCTTGTGTCTTGAACCTGCGTGTCCCACGTTGGATTCTCAAGGCTCATAGATGTTTGCAGGGGAGTTGGGTTTTGGCTGGGAAGCAGAGGTGTGATTTTTCTAGGTGTCTTCTGGCCATGTTCTGGAACAACTGCACCCTTGTCTTTGTCTCCAGATGTTGACATGGCCTCGGGGGTGGCCGTCTTGAGGGAGGCCTGATCTATATCCTGCTGGTCGGTGGATGCGGCAGAGCTGCTCACCGCCAAGACATCTGTTGTGAGTGGGACCTGACCTTGGGGCCCTCCTGCTGGGCTGTCCTTAGACACGCTGTCAGCCACGCTGCCCAGGGGGGACCCGGGAGTGCCATGTGTGAGGCTGCTGGTGGAACCGGCCTCTCCCGAGGGCTCTCCTGGGGTCATCTATGCCCTTTGCTATTTGTGGCAGTTGGAGGGAGTGGCTGCAACCCAGCTGGGCTGAGTTGTCCAAGTGGTGAGGTCACAAGGGACTGTGGCCACTGGTGATGTCACAGGTACCCGTAGAGCAAGGGTCTTGAGCTTCTGGAGCAGCCTTCCAAGTGGGCTAAGTCTATGGGACAGTTTGTTGCCAACTTTGCCGGTACATAGGGAAAAAATGACAAATGTTCTGGAAAGGGCTGGAGGCATGTGTACAGGGGCAAGTACAGCCACAGGGCCACAGGAGTGAGAGTTGTGACTTTGACAAATGAGAAGGGATGCAGATGTTGATTTAGAACAGTGTTTATAAGGGACCCCTCCCGGCACCTCTCTGTCTATACTGGTGTCTCAAGACCCCAATTTAGGCTGGGCATGGTGGCTCACTCCTGTAATCCCAGCACTCTGGGAGGCTGAGGTCGGGGAATCACCTGAGGTCAGGAGTTCGATACACCTACTTGTGCTTAGCTAGGCACGGTGGCTCACGCTGTAATAATAGCACTTTGGGAGGCTGAGGCGGGCGGATCATCTGAGGTCAGGAGTTCCAGACTAGCCTGACCACATGGAGAAACCCCGTCTCTACTAACAATACAAAATTAGCTGGGCGTGGTGGTGTGTGCCTGTAATCCCAGCCACTTGGGAGGCTGAGGCAGGAGAATCGCTTGAACCCGGGAAGCAGAGGTTGTGGTGAGCCGAGATCGCACCATTGCACTCCAGCCTGGGCAACAAGGGCGAAACTCCATCTCAAAAAAAAAAAAAAAAAAACTATATTAAGAAGATGGTTGGAGAGGAAGACTCAGTCTGTTGTGTGTGTGCTTCTCCAGGGGTTATCGGTTAACATTTAGTGACACCTTATGGACGGGAAAAGGCGCGTAGCATCCTTCCCATCATCCGTCAACTCTGGGTAGGTACCGTTCTACTAGTATACCAGTTTACACACAGGCACGCTGAGCCTCACAGAGAATAAGTGACTTACTCAAAGCCACACTACTAATAAGAGCTGAATCTGGGATTTGAACCCTGTCTGGCTTCAATACTAAGCTTTCCAGCACTCTCTCTTACCCAGGAGGCATATTAAAAATGTTCAATGAGGGGCTGGGCATGGTGGCTCATACCTGTAACCCAGAACTTTGGAAGGCCAAGGTGGGAGGATTGCTCGAGCCCAGGAGTTCAAGACCAGCCTGGGCAAAGTAGTATGACCCTGTCTGTACAAAAAATAAAACAAAAATTAGCTGGGCATGGTGGTGCATACCTGTAGTCCCAGCTACCGGGAAGGCTGAGACCCAGGAAGAGGATTTCTTGAGCTCAAGAGTTCAAGGCTACAGTGGGCTATGATCACATCATTGCATCCCAGCCCAGGTGACGGAGTGAGATCCTGTGCCTTAAAAAAGAAAAAAGACATATCTAATGACTGGCATGGTAATGATGCTGGCTGATGCAGACAGAGGCCTCCCATTAGAACCGGTTCCACCACACCAGCAGGTGACAGCTGCTGCCAGCGCTGAGCTGTACCATCAGCAGCATGGTCATACGTGTATGGAAAATTCCCCTCCCTGAAACTCTCTGCCCTTGTCCTCTCTCCTGCTGCCTCTCCTGGCTGGCTCCCTCCCTCCTCCACTGCTCTGGGATCAAGCCTTCACTTCACACTCCTTTTACTGACCCAGCCCAGCCGGCCTCCACCTTAACCCTCTGAGGCTGGCTGCACTTCTGACACCAGGCTCCTCGCTCACTGAGTGTTTATTTTCACCGCAGATACCCTGCCACCACCTCAGAGGTCACAGGGCAAACCCAGGCTTGTTGGAGTGTGAGGGGCCAATGAGTACAGCCTGTAGCTTGTGAAGGCGTCCTGGAGAGAATGGTGGCTGCCCATCCCAGATGACCTTCTTCCTTAGTGTCAGACAATTGCTAAATAGAAATTATAGGAGGCTACTGCTTCGGATGAGGCTCCTGCACCAGGCCCCAGCAGACTGGACTAAACGTCAAGATGGGGTCACTCACACTGAGGTTCCAAATCACCGGGAGACAGAGATGATTGCCAGTTTCCCAAATGGGCCAGTTTCTTTTTTTGAGATAGAGTCTTGCTCTGTTGCCTAGGTTGGAGTGCAGTGGCGTAATCTCGGCTCACTGCAACCTCTGCCTCCCGGGTTCAAGCTATTCTCATGCCTCAGCTCAGACTAGTCTTGAACTCCTGGCCTCAGGTGATCCACCCATCTCAGCCTCCCAAAGTGCTGGGATTACAGATGTGAGCCATCTCGCCGGGTATTTTTTTGAGACAGCATCTTGCTCTGTGGCCTTGGCTGGAGTTCAGTGTGTGATCACAACTCTGAGCTGAAACAATTCTCTTACTTCAGCCTCCCAAGTAGCTGGGAATACAGGCACACTCTAGCACACCTGGTTAATTTTGTTTTTACTTTTTGTAAAGATGGAATTTCACCATGTTGCCCAGGCTGGTCCTGAATTTCTGGGCTCAAGGAATCTGCCCGCCTCAGCCTCCCAAAGTGGTGACATTACAGAAACAGGCCAGTTTCAATCTTCAAGTGGCATGATAGTGAAAGTTCCCTCTGTTTTATTTTGTTTTTTTTTTCTTCTGTCTTGAACTCCTGGGCTCAATCACTCCTCCAACCTCAGCCTCCTGAGTAGCTGGGACTACAGGTACACGCCGACACGTCCGGCTATTTTAAAAATTCTTTGTAGAGATGGGGCTTCGCCATGTTGCCCAACTTGGTTTCTAACTCCTGGGCTCAAGTGAACCTCTCACCTCCCAGAGTGCTGGGATTACAGGTGTGAGCCACTGCACCTAGCCTGGTTTTTGTTTTTTAGTTTCTGCTTTTTTCCACCCTCTTCCTATCTGTAAAGCCAACTTTTACTGCTTGATTCATTGGAACCCTTATTCTATTTTAGGAAATCAAGTGTTGCCTGATTCTAGAATCACAAAGCCAACTGACAGCTTTAAAGTAAACTTGTTGTAATTTTGTCTTTTGACACTTAGTGTCAGGACTCTGATTTTATTGAGAACCGCTATGTCTTAGCTAAAAGAACACACTTCCCAGCCTCCTTTGCAGGTAGGTAAGAACATGTGACCATGTTCTGGCCATTGAGAAGTAAGCAGAAAGTATTGAGTGGAACTTCAAAAAGAATCCTTCAAAGTGTTTAACATCTTTTTGATCTTCTCCCTATCAGGAATGTGAAGGCTGGAGCAACAGCAACCCTCTTGGTCCAGCAAGAGGATTGGTCCAGCAACCCTCTTGGTAATCTTGAGGGTGGAAGGCACACACTAAGAGGGTGGACCCAGCAAGGATGGAAGGACCCTGGGTCCCATGGTTGGAGCTGTCTGGCAGCCACCAGACCAGACTATCGCCAACCTCTCGAATTCCTTTATGTGAGGGAAAATAACACTATATGTGCCCAAATGATTATTTTTGGTTTTCTATTACATGCAGCTACACGTAATCCTAATCCAATTCTAACAGTTACAAGATCCCTGTCAAGTGGTTGGTCTGTGTTTGAATATTTCCCAGTCCTAAACAATCAAGAGTAGCATAAGGCACTGAGTGCCAGTAGGCCTGATGCTGGGCAGGGGTTATTTCCCCATTTTTCAGATGAGGAAACTGAGGCTTAGAGAAACCAAGCACATAGCAAGGTCAGTGGCATCCGTCTGACTCCAAAGCCCCACACCCCACACTGCTCCCTGCTTTTGGTTAGAAAGTTCTCCCTGCTCCCTATCTTCACCCAGGAAATAAAAACCTATATATTTAAGGTATATGACTTCATTTTTTTTTTGAGGTGGAGTCTCACTCTGTCACCCAGGCTGGAGTGCAGTGGCACGATCTCAGCTCACTGCAACCTCCGGCCTCCAGGTTTAAGCGATTCTTCTGTCTCAGCCTCCCAAGTAGCCAAGATTACAGGTGCTTGTCACTGCGCCTGGCCAATTTTTGTATTTTTAGTAGTGACGGGGTTTCACCATCTTGGCCAGGCTGGTCTTGAACACCTGACCTGTGATCCACCTGCCTCGGCCTCCCAAAGTGCTAGGGTTATAGACGTGAGCCACTGTGCCTGGCTGACTTAATGTTTTGATGTACGTTAGACTGTGAAATAATCACTACAATCAAGCTAATTAACATATCCATCACCTCACATCATTTCCACCTCCCTCCCTCCTTCGCCTCTTCCTTCCTTCCTTCCTTCCTCCCTCCCTCCCTTCCTTCTTTCCTTCCTCCTTCCTTCCTCCCTGCCACCCTCCCTCTTTCTTTTCTTTTTTCTTTCCCTTCCTTTCCCTTCCCTTCCCTTCACTTCTCTTCTTTTCTTTATGTTTCTTTCCTCTTCCCCCTCTCTCTTTTTTCTTTTTTTTCTTTCAACAGGGTCTTACTCTGTTGCCCAGGCTGGAGTGCAGTGGTACAATCATAGCTCACTTCAGCCTTGACCTCCTGGGCTCAAGGGATCCTCCCACCTCAGCCTCCTGAGTAGTTGGGACTACAGGTGTGTGCATCATGGCTGGCTAATTTTTAAATATTTGTAGAGATGAAGTCTCACTATGTTGCCCAGGCTGGTCTTGAACTTCTGGGCTCAAGCAATCTGCCTGCCTTGGCCTCCCAAAATGCTGGGATTACAAGCACGAGCCACCACGCCTGGCCATTTTCTTTCTTTCTTTCTTTGTGTGTGTGTTTGTGTGTGTGTGTTGAGAATAGTTAGAAAGTTTTTGATGTCCCCTCATGTGGCCCACTAAAACCATCATGCATTTTATAGGCACCGAGGACAAACTGTATTTGGAATTCAGTTTTTGATTCTACATGTTGCACTTTATGTTGACCCTTGTTACATTTCATGTGCTTGGGCCGGGCGCGGTGGCTCATGCCTGTAATCCTAGCACTTTGGGAGGCCGAGGCGGGTGGATCACCTGAGGTCGGGAGTTTGAGACCAGCCTGACCAAAGTGGAGAAACCCCATCTTTACTAAAAATACAAAATTAGCCAGAGTGAAACTTCATCTCAAAAAAAAAAAAAAAGTTTCC